TTTTCTTGCTTTTGAAATTCTGTCCAACTTCTGATACAGTGATAGCTGCCTGGCCTCAAGCTGATAGACTTTATTAAATAATAAAATCACGGAGAAGAATCAAACTCACAGACAATCTCATTTGGGATGGGACAGGAGGCAATCTTCAGGGTATGTTTATTTAAATTCCCTTCTATGTGTCTCTGAAATGACATAGAGCCTCTATTTCCTTTAGCAGTTAAGACATTTATCAAACACCTACGATGTGCCAAGTTCAGGGCAGAAAAAAAAAATAATAAGATGTCTCCCTTAAGAAACTAATACTGTAGCTGGGAGACAGAGGATCCTGGAGCTGGCCAACCTTGATGTATCTCTGTTATCTCTGCTTTGATAGTCCGGACTGAGAAATGATTAATTGCTTTGAGGAGGAAAATAAGTGAGCAGGAGAAATCCTACAAAGCATACTGGTTGCCTTAAACCTTTATCTTCACTCACAAGGAAATGTGAGTATTGTAAATGAAAACCAAAGCAAGAACTCTAAATAACGGTTTTCAAGTCCAGGGTTCCTAACAACTCTTTTCCATAACGTTAGTGCGATATTATTTTATAAGTTGTTTTTGTCCAACCGAGAGGTTGGGATAAGGGTATAAGGTTGGGTAGTGGGAAAGGCAGGGGATCTTGAAAGGCTCTTCAATAACTCAAAACCTATTTTGTCCAATTTATTTTATATTTTCTCCCACATATAAAAAAATTTAATAACACATTTCCCCATTATCTGATCTTTATAATCCTTTTCTCCTCTTTTCTATCTCTACAGAGAATGCACCATGTAGAGGAGATCAGGAAGGTCTTAATAACAAATTCTGGCTCTGCTGTTTACTTACTGCTCAAATCAGGGAAAATTCCATCCCTTAGCTAAGATTCAGCTTTCTACTGTGTAAACCAAGGATGATTGTTGTTGTTATGCCATTGAATTGACTACAACACACAGCAACCCTATAAAAAAAGCGCTGAATATTGTCCTATCCTGAGCCCATCTCACAGTCTCAGACACACTTGACCCTATAGTCACTGTGCCAATCCATCTCAGCCAGAGTCTTCCTCTCTTGCATTTACCGTTCACCCTTCCAAGAATGATGTCCTTCTCAAAGGATTGGTCCCTTCTGGTAACATGCCAAAAGTATGTGAGATTGGGCTTCAAAATCCTTGCCTCCAAGGAGCAAACTGGTTTCATCCTCTTCAGGACAGACTTCTTTATTCTCTTGGCAGTCCAAGTTCTTCCCCTGTTATTCTTATTCATTAGTCAGATAGTATCTAGCAATATCTAACAGTTATTATTTAACACTATGGCTCGTGGTGCAGATTAAGAGAAATGATGACTATGAACTACTCATTGTAGTGTCTGGCAGTCAGTTAGCATTTAGAACGGGGAAGGAGTCACACTGTCAATTCAAAGGCAAGTAGTTTGAACCCACCAGCTTCCCTGTGGGAGAAAGATGGGCAATCTCCTCCCATGCAATTTAGATCCTCTATCAGGGGAAAAAATCAATACATTGAAATGACTAAAAAGTTGATGTTGTTAGATTACTGTTGAGTTTGACCCACAGTGACCCTACAGACAGTTTCTTAGGTTGTGAATTCTACAGAAGCTGAATTTTCTCCCAACAATCTGCGGGCTGAGTTCTAACTACCAACCTTTTGGTTGGCAGCCAAGTGCTTAACTGTTATGCCACCAGGGCTCCTTCTATCAAACGGAAATACTGAAAATGGAAAAGGATTCACAGAATCTATGCTCAAATCTTAAAATGGAGATTGACATAAATTCTATGAAGTTGAGGAAGAGTAAAATCAAACAAACAAAAATCACAAAACTACAATTTGAAATGGAGAAATTATATTCATCATTTGAAAATATCTACTGCCAAAATACAGGAGGAAGACTAGGACAATGCAATTTATCATGTGTTCCCTGTTAGTCTAGCGTCCCTAGTGGTGGTACTTGGATGTCAGGAACAGTGTCACTTTGGGTCCTCTTCCAGTGTGATAATCTGTCAATCATTTCTGTCAAATCGATCTCTTTGGGATGTCTAAATCCATCCTTCTCTGTTCATCCTTGGATTAATACTTCAACCTCATGAATGAACTATCTTCCATCAATGTCATTAATTCAAATTAAGACGTTTTGGGGGTCGTTGTCGTTGTGTGCATCTGAGTTGTAATCAACCCACAACTGACCCTCCAGAGAGTTTTCAGAGGCAGTTAGCTGCACAAGAGGAGACTGCACATCCTTCTCCCCAGCAGGAGCTGGGGATTCGAACGATGTGCATTCAGGATTGCAGTACGGTTCCTTGCCACTAGACAGAAATAGCTATTTTTTCCAAACCTTATACTGAGCAATTTATCACCTATTTTTTCATTTAACTCAGTATTTAGAATTTTCAATATAGTGAACTCCTTGAGTACATAATTTTGTAAGTCAGACAACCAGGATTTACACATGGTTTACATACGTGGTCCTGTCATATACTAGGTATGTGATTTTGGCATTTTTTTTCAAAGGAAGCCATCATGACAGAACCCAGAGCATTGGGCTTTGCATTCAGTAAGCACTAGTGAAAGTTAGTATTGCTGTTAATTGTTCAGGAACATAATACTTAACCTCACTACCTGCCTGTCACCTTTTGTTGTTAGCATTTAAAAATTTAAATTTATTGCGACCTAAACATCACCTATTCTGACTTAAACATCTCATATATAAAGAATTTGCTGAATTCCTGAGAACATAATATGTTCCACAGCACTTATTTACTTCATCAAAGCTTTGCAAAGGGTCTAAAATTGGATGCATCTTGTGTAACAGACTCTGAGAAGCCACGAGTAAAAGGTTTTCAGAAGACATCAAAGAAGAAATCAAAGAGACTACAAGACCCAAGTGGAATGAGTTAAGAAAAAAGAAAAACTCAACAGCTAGAGACTTGGGAAAAGAGAGGAGTGTTTGAAAATTGAAAAGAAGAAAGAAGATCCTTGCAACTAATTCAAATGTTAAAAGCTCTCATGTCTACATGGTTAGACAAGTAACATCAGTGCGGGAAGCCTGTTGGAAACCAAAAGACTATACCCTCCACAGGGGCTCTGTCATGGGGTGCTGGTATATTCTTGCCCTGTGGAACTGAAGATCATGTGAGGTTGTGCTTCTTCCTCTTCACCCCACTGTCCAGTTATTTTTGCTATTAGGTTCCAATCCCAACTCAAAATGAAACTCTAAAGACCCTTCACAACTGAGTCCCTTCTGACTCATGGTGACCTTACTGTTATCATCACCATCAAGGTGACTACAATTCACCGAGATCCTCCGAACAATAGATCAAAACCTTGCCTTATCCTGTGTCATACTCATAATCTCCACCATGTTCAAGTCCATTCACTGCATTCATTGTGTCAATCCATCCATCTCATTGCAGATCTTCTTCCCTTTCATCCACCCTTTGCTTTTCCAAAAATAATGTCTTTTTTGTTTGTTTCACATTTTGGTTTTTTTTTTGCATAATGTGTTTTTCAAAGAATGACATAGCCTGATAACATGTCTAACATATGTAGAAGTGTCAACATCCTTGTCTCTAAGAAGCACTCAGCTTGCACTCTCTCTAAGACAGATTTGTTTATTCTTTCTATTCAAATCCTTCCTCAACACCACAATTCAATGGCTACAATTCTTCAGTCTTCCTTATTCATTGAGACTATTGGTTAGTCAATTGACCCTATACCCCATCCCCACACTCAAAAGATCCATAAATCTAGATACTTTTATCTGAAATATTTTGATCTTTTAACCTATAAAATAAAGTTTTAAACACTGAAAGCACTGTGTGAGCTCAACAAATGTATATGAGAGTCCTGAATATATTAAGAGCAATATTTTATAATAATAGTCATTAACTAGAGACTGGAGCCTTTATAATAAACACAGACATCAAAAGAAGAAAAAAAAAAGAAACAGAACTCACATTTATTGACTAGTATACATTTTAAATCTCATTTGATTCTCACAGCAATTTGCTACAGAGGAAACACTGTCCTCATTGGACACAGGTCCAGAAAATAGCTCAAGGATGTCAGAGAAACTTGCTCATGATTACACAGCCAGAGGTCAGGGTTGAATTTACAATTAGATCATACCCTAAAACGTCACCATTTTTGAGGAGGCCTTAAGGAGGTGCATTACAGATTATAGGAGGTATCATTTTCAAAGGCCCACCTGTGCTCTGAATGCCATTACTCTACTTGCACTAAGGCCATACCTTCTATTGCTGCTCCCAGCCAATGACTGAGCTCACAGAGGTATGACCACCACCACAGCTTCCACTCTGAGCAGTAGGAACCCTATGTGCATCACAGCAGAAGTACATTCCACAGGGTTTTCAACGGCTGATTTTAATGAAGTGTATCATCAGATCTTTCTTCTAAAGTACCTCTGGGTAGATTTGAACCTCCAACCTTTAGGTTAGAAGCCAAGAGGGTGAACCATTTATACCACCCAGGGACTTATAAGAGGGTACTATTTCAGAGAGAAAGGAGGCTTTCCTTAAGGATTCTATGGAGACATCTATCTAGCAAGCTTCCACTTAACATTTTCGTTTCATCTCTTTCTTACCTCCTGACATGCAATGCAATCTAAAGGTTCTCCCTGTCTTCTAGCTCTCTCACTAGTTTTTCTTGAAAGTATTTCCTGAAACAAAAACCCTGCATCTATATCCACCCATCTGGGTATTTACTTCTTGAAGGATCCAGGCTTTTCCAAAAGGCTCCCAAAGGTTCTGAATTTGCCTGGAAACACCTGACTTGGTCCAACAGGAAATTACAAAAACAAGCACCATTCTGCAAGGGAAAATGCATCTACCTATGGATTCTTTTCTTTGCAAAGTGGTCTCTGTAATCTCCCAATCATCCTGATGCCTCAAGCATAGGTTAGAAAGTGATGTCACAACAACCAGCCTGGGGTCAGGCACCCTGTAGACACTCACCGCATCTCTCTGTTTGATTCGTTTGTAAATGTATTCAGCAAATGGCTTTCGAGGAATAAACTTCCCATCTCCTGGTGTGACGCTGAAAATCCCAGCTTCATATACCACTTTGCCTCTTGAAATAGTCACCAGAGGTACCCCGTGGCAAACCATGCCCTCAAAGATGTTGAAGTTCACAGCCTGGTGATGGGTTTTTGCAGAAATAGTTCTGTGATTATAAAAACAAGAACGTTCCAGATCACCATCAGTTCCTTTGATGAAGATAAAATATTAAAAGAAGAATGATTAAGAAGAAAATTTAGCAACTCTATTAAGCCATCGCTTCATCACTGTAACAAGTGACTTTAAGAATAGCGCTTGACATTAACATTTCATTACAAAGTAATTACATTTTCTGAGACAAAGAGCCCATATAGAACTCTTTAGGGTGATTAATGACGATGGAGTAGAAGAACATTCTCTTTCATGTTTAGATTTTTAAATGATTTTATTTATATTATTAAAGAACAAAATTTATTTTGTTGTTGTTATATGCCGTCGAGTCATTTCCGACTCATAGCGACCCTATGCACAACAGCCCTAAACCCTGCTCTATCCTGCGCCAACCGCACCGCCTCTGACACACCCATCCTGATTACCCCTGGCACTGAATCAATCCACCTCATAGAGGGTCTTCCCCTCCTGCGCTGTCCCTCCACTCTGCCCAGCATAATGTCCCTCTCTAAAGACCTGTCTCTCCTTACAACATGTCCAAAGTAAGTCAGGCGAAGCCCCAGAATCCTTGCCTCCAAGGAGCAGCCTGGTTTAACCCTCTCTAGGATGAATCTATTTGTTTTCTTGGCAGTCCATGGTACATTCAGTACCCTTCTCCAGCACCACAGCTCAAAAGCATCCACTCTCCTTCTGTCCTCCCTAGTCATTGTCCAACTCTCTGATGCATAACAAGCAATTGCAAAGACCATGGCCTGTATCAGGCGCACCTTAGTCTCCAGAGAGACACTGTTGCTCCTGAGTTTAAACACTGGTGGGTCTGGTGATGAAAACACAATGATCCACTAGCCATCTCTAAAACATGACAATTTTTCACAGCTTCTACTATAGCTTTCTCATTGCCCCTCCTCATGTCCTATTCCCTGGCAGAAGTAATCACTACCCTGCTTAGTAGTTGTTGCTGCTCAGGACAGTTGAATTGAAAGTTATTCATAACTGACCATCCAGCAAGTTTTCAGAGGCTGTAAATTACGTGAGGGCAGACTGCTCATCTTTCTCCTGTACAGCAGCTAGTGGATTCGAGCTGTATGCCTCTGGGTTGACAGTACAACTCCTTACCACTAGACCACCAGAGCTTCTCTCGCAGTTAGCAAAGAAAAAAATCTTTCTTTTTTCCCCCTTCTCTTTGTCTCTAACAAAACTGGAAATTTAAGGACCACAAAAAACAAATAAGTTGGAAGATAATTACTTAGCATATTCAGTTTTGCATATGTACCATCACTCTCAATAGTTAATTAATGCTTTCCAGTCTTATATAATGGGTGCAATATAATGGGTGAATTCAAATACGTAGATGGCTGGAATTTGGAAATGCTGGGTACTTCCTTCCCTAATCTCACAGCAGTAAAAAACATGAACATAATATGGGTCCTGGTGGAAGTGTCTTTAATCTCCCTTGGAAATAGATCCAAAATAAATATTCTGCTGAAAAACCTCAAGGTTGGGTCAAAATAAGAGCATCTGGGAGCTCTTTCAACCCTAGTCTGGAAGGGCTACTCGTTGGAGACTCATATCCCTACCTGAATTCCTGGAAGTGTTGTGGTCCTAAATATAACAAGACAAGCTTGGCCAGAGGCTTCAAGTCCTCCATCCAATTGTCAGCGGCCTTCTTGATTCCAGCATTAACAGGGTCAAACAGAATTCTCACTCATTCATGCCCACTCCAACCCACCCCCTCAAATTAGCTCCTTCTTGGAGCTCCCATTTCAGGTACTAACAACCCCATCTACCTCGTGGTCCACAGTCCAAAATCTAGGAGTCAATTGAAATTTATTTTTCCTTTGGGCTACTCTCTGCAAAAATTATTAAATCTTGCTTCTCCCTTCAAAAATCATTAATCCTGCCTCCTGTCTTGTATCATCTCAGTTGCTCTCACCCACGTCTATTTCACCAATCATCTCTGACATCTCTTCAGAAGTCTATCTCCACTTTTACCCTACTGTCAATCTAGTCTCTTCAAAGCTGCTCAGATGATCTTGTACAAATGAAAATCAGACAATGCCACTTAAACTTCCACATTGCTTAACCTTTCAGTGGCTCCAATCTGTTTCCCAAGAGGTATTCAAGTAACTTTAAAACAAACAAACATAGATAAAAATAAAAAGCAGAAGCTCTCCTTGATAAGAAATATCTGTCAAGGAAAAGAAAGAGGGGCCTCCTGTATGTCAAGACTATACATTCTAACATTACATTTCATCTTTATAATATTTTATAGGAAAATAAACGGAAATTTAGGGAAGTGAAAAACCTGTCAGAGAATATAAAACTTGTTTGATGAAAAGGAGATTTCCCTGCCACTTTTAAATGAACAGATAATAAAATTATAATTTCCTCATATTAAGTTTTACAGATTTTGGCACATGTGTAAATTCCTGATATTACCACCATGATCAAGCACAGAATAATACAATTTATCTCCCAAACTTTCCCATACCATCCCTATACTCTAACCTCAAACACTTGTTCTTCCTCTGTATAATTCTGTCTTTTCCAGAATATCATATAAATGGGATAATGCAGTATTATTTGGATTTTTTTTAATATTTAGCATGTTTTTGAAATTAATCCAAATTGTTGTAATAAGAGTTTATTCCTTTTTATTGCTGAGTAGTATTCCATGTTATAAATAGGTCACTATGTGCTTATCCTCATATCTGCTACTGAATATTTGTTATTCAATTTTTTATAATCATGAAGAAACTCTTTGTGTGAAGATTTTCCTAGCTTAAACATCCTAGGGTAGCATTTCTAAGTCACATGGCAAGAATATGCCCCAAATTTTTTTCTATAGATATTATAGAATTTATTTCCATTAGTTCCTGTTTTCTAGGAACCAAGTTTCTAATACAGAGATGGTTAAATAAATAGAAGATAGGTACAAATGCAATAATTATTTTAAACCTGAGGAACTGATCAAATTTTAAGTAATATAACTAAAGTAAAACATAGAGAACCATTTTGAAAGGATTGTTAGAATGAGTTTATGAGTTGGTAACCAAAGATACAATTCAAAAAAGTATAAATACAGGAGTGAGAAAATATGTCTCAAAAGAAGCAAAGCAAGAATGCTCCTTAGAAGTGAGAATGGTAAAACTCTGTCACAGGCACTTTGGACTGGAACTACAGGGGTGTAGTGAGTAGAGAATTTAACTGCTGACCTAAAGATCTCTGGCGAGTTGAACATACCAGCAGCTGGAAAAAGATGGGCAATCTCCTCCCACCTGATTTACAGCCTCAGAAACGCAATGGAGGGTCAGCTGTGACCATGTGGTTTTTTTACCTGATGACAATGAGTTTTGAGAGTCAGTAGATAATGGCATTTCATGATTGGTAGAGTGTCAGTAAAAAAGAAGACGTACAGTGATTGCGACAAGGGGCTCAACAACTAGGACACAGGAGCAGGTAGTGTTCCTTGCCGCTGCACACAGCATCTCTACAAGTTGCAACCAACTTGATGGTGCCTGGTGGCCTAGTGGGTAAGCAGTTGCACTGCCAACCCAAAGGCAGGCAGTTAAGTACACCAGCTGCTATGTGAGAGGAAAATGAGAAAGCTCATCCTGTGCAATTACAGCCTTTAAAACTCTGCTTGAGGATCATTTACTTGAATCAGTTATTTGAATCAGTTGATTCAAATTCAACAGCAATTGAGTTGAATTTTGAAGAGTTTTTGTTAATGATGCCTAATAATAAATCTAGGGAGCTATATAGATGAGTTTCAGAGTTTCCAGTTAAAGGAACTTTTTGTCTATCACAAATTCTCTACCATAACATTTCCATAATCTGGGTAATGGCTTTTCTATGCATTACAGCTACACTAGTAGATTTGGAGTTAAACTCTTGGGTTTGTATTTCTAGATTGTTACATTATTAAGGCTGCCAAATTAAGAAAGTAAAATAAATAAAAATCTATATATTAAAATAAGATGGAAAGATTATACAGAGTTATTGTACCTAAAGGAATTGGTGGAAACAGAAGAATTTCATGAAACAACGTGTGAGCAAGAGCTTGTTGTGATGAAGGAAGTTCAAGCTGCTCTGAAAGAACTGGCAAAAAACAAGGCCCCAGGAACTGATGGCACACCGATTGATATATTTCAACAAACAGATGCTGGCTGCCCTGGATGTGCTCACCAAGTTGTGCCAAGGAATCTGGAGGACAGCCACTTGGCCTACTGACTGGAAGAGAACTCTATGTGTTCCCATTCCAAAGAAAGGTGATCTGACAGTGTGTGGAAATTACATAAAAGTGTCACTGATACCACATGCAAGCAAGATTGTGTAGAAGATTATCCAAAAATGGCTAAAACAGCACATCAACAGAGAACTGCCTGACATGCAGGCTGGATTTAGAAGAGGCTGTGGCACTAGGGACATTATAGCTAATGTTAGATGGATCATAGCTGAAAGCAGAGAATACCAGACAAATGTTTATCTGTATTTCACTGACTGTTCAAAGGCATGGTTCAATATTGGGAAGGATGTTCATCAAGGATGTGTCCTATCTCCATATCTTTTCAAGCTGTATGCAGAACAGATTATCCAGGAGGCTGGGCTCTAATGAGGAGAAGTGTGACATCAGGATTGGAGGAAGACGCAACAATCTGTTACGCAGATGACACAACCCTGCTTGCTGAAACTGAGGAGGACCTGAAGCTCTTGCTGTAGAGGGTCAAGGACTGCAGCCTTCAATACAGATTGAAGCTCAACATCAAGAAAAAAAAATTCTTAACACTGGGCAGATTGACAGCATGGTGAAGAGATTGAGATTGTTGAATGCTTCAGTTTGTTTGGCTCTACGATCAACACTATTGGTACCAGTAGCCAGGAAATGAAAAGACAAATTGCACTTGGAAAATCTGCTGTCAGAGACCGCTCCAAAATACTGAAGAACAACAATGTCAGTCTGGAGACTAAAGTGCACATGATACAGCCCATGGT